GAGCGAGCACTCTGAATTTGGACCTCTATCTTCCCAAACTGTGCACGAATAAATGTGTTTGTTTAAAATACACATGCTCGCACACACACTGGGCGACTCCTCAAAAGAAAGATGTGGTAGTCTGCTTCTGTGAAGGTTTGTAGCCTTGGAAAGTCCATGGGGGCAGTTGTTCTTGTCGCAGAGTGAGTTACATGTTAGGCTGCTAACCACAAAGTTAGCAGTTCAATTCCACCAGCAGCCTCTCTGGAGAAAGATGAGATTTTCTTCTCCAGTGAAGACTTATGAAAACCCAAAGAGGTAGAAATCCTACCTTATCCAGCAGGGCCACTATGATGGCACTATGAGGCTGGCACTGCACCTTTCACTGAGTTACCTCGTAAGCACTATGGGTATCATGTGGATTACCGTGAGAAAAAGGAAAGAAGGAAAGTCAGGAGGCTCATGAGTGTTCACAGAAGACAAAAGATGACTGGTCTGAAGGCCAAGCTCCACCACAGGCAGCATCATGATGAGATAATACAAAGAAAAAGACTGTCTAGATGCATGAAAAGAGAAACCCCCAAAAGGGGCAGTGCCTGCCTATCTGCTGGATAGAGGAACAGTCTCGAGCTAAAGCACTTTATAGTAAGTTTAAACAAAAAGAAAAAGCAGGAAAGTGCTAAGTCCCTCTGCCCAAAGTCTATGCCCAGGGGGAAAGCTGAAGCACTAAAAGTTATTCGAAGAGGAAAGAGAAAAAAGGCATGCAACAGGATGGTAACTAAAGTCTGCTTTGTTGGAGATATCTTTACATGAAACCAACAAAATATGAACGATTCACCAGACCAGTGGGCTTTAACGTCACCCACCCTGAACTTAAAGCGGCCTTTTGCTCATGAATACCTCGTGTAAAGAGGACCCTCTCATTCCCGTGGTATACAATGTTGGGCATTATGACCATCACTGACCTGAATGTAAGTGGGTTGAGCCTGGTGACACAAGGAGGCAAGGTGATCTGGGGGAAATATGCCAGATTCCTTCCCAACAATCCTGAAACTGCTGGATGCACAAAGGTAGTCTTACTGATCTGATGGCAGTCTTATACAAGGACCTCCCTTTATTTGTGAGGATAACAAACCAATCAGGAAAACCACCAATATGATCTTGTGTTTTTCAGTTCCATCCAGCAGTTTACATGTCTGAAGTCAGCAAGAGAACTATTTATATTGTAAGAAAAACAGAACATTAAAATGGCTCAGTTGTTAAAAAAAAAAAAAAAAAAAAAGGAGGTCCAAGACTAACACTAGTGAGGAGCAGCAGGGAAAGCAAACATAGTGTTCTCTTTGATTGTAAAATTAGCTTATAATTACTTATTAGTCTGACAGATTTGTACATATTTTTAGGATATAAAAAAGCAAAACCCACTAACACTGAGTCAACTCGAAGTCCTAACCACTCTACATAGGGTTTTGGAGACTGTGAATCTTTACAAGAGCAGAAAACTTCATCTTTATTCTGTGGAGTAACTGTTGGGTGTAAACCACCACGCGTTTGGTTAGCAGTTCAATGCCTACCCAGCAGTGCCAACACGATTCCTTAGGATACCAAAAAAAAAAAAAAAAAATCCTCCAAATTGACTGCCTTTGAGTCAATTCTTGCTCACAGAGACCTTACATAACACAGCAGCACTGCTCCCATGAATTTCTGAGGCTGTAAATCTTCACCGGAGTAGAAAGCCTCATCTTTCACCCAAGGAATGGGTGGTTGTTTAAAACTGCTGATTTTACACTCTGCAGCCCCAGGCATAATCTACACCACCAACCAGGCCTCCTTCCTTAGCTTACTGTTAAGTTGAAACTCATTTTAAAATAGTAGCCTATTACTTGCTTTCTTGATATAAAAAGCAAATCTTAAATTTCACAAACCTGATGGCCCATTTATCTCCAATCATTTTTAATGAAATAAAATAATTAGGAGAATCCCTACATACTACTGACTTATAAAGTACTGAACATATAGAACATTTCTATTATACATTCATAATGACCCGGTGAAACCATATATCCTCATAAGATTTCTGGGGTTTAAAAAATATCCTTAATTGGACTAAATCTGTTTCTATATGAACTGAGGAGGGTGGGTATTGGAGATTCTTCAACATAAGCTGGTCATCTAAACAAAATTCACAAAATAATTGGTCAGATGAAGAATTCAAGTTAAATACAACAAAAGGCTAAAAATGTACTGTGAGATTCTGGGTTATTTGACTTTCTCTATAACTAAAACTAACAGATGTTCTGAGAGCAAGCAAATAAAATTTAAAACTACATTTAGGAAAAGAATGACTAGGTTGGTTCAAAATGCTAAAAAGAATATGGGCTAAAGGGACCCCCCCAAAATTAGCAAATTATACATGAAAATAGTAAGCCCAAACAAAAAAAACAGTGACATTGGTTCCATTCTGACTCAGAAATACCACCAATGCAGAGTAAAATTGCTCCATAGGGTAATGGTAACACCTTCCTTCCGAAGCACCTCAGGGTGGGTTTGAACCACCAACAATACTCAAGTGCTTACTCATTTATGCTCTCCAGGGTCTCCTATTATAATCAGGGTAAAGTAAAGAGTTTCTTGTGTACAGCATCATTGGTCTACTAATAATCATCTCCACCTGGATGTTTAATTTAATCATTTTCCTAGTTTTATCATCAAACCTGCTTCTCTCATAAACCTCACCTCAGTAAATATCTACCCCGTTTTTCTACTTTCTCAGAACAAAAAATGTCCTCTGCATCTCATGTTGACTCTGTCCCAACTTACCCTGAAAGCAACCACTCCTTACCAGCCCACCAATGAGCCAAGTCATATCACCTCCAGTAGAGATTTTCAGAACAGACCCCTAAGTGGTGTTTTGCTCTGCTCTTCCCCAACCTTGACACCCCCATCCCAACAAAGTCTATTCTACATCTAATTACCAAGTAACCTTTTAAAAATGTTTTTTTTTAAACCTATAGCCATTAAGTCAATTCAAATGCAAGGCAACCCTATAGGACAGACTGGAACTGCCTCTTAGGGTTTTCCAATATTAAATCTTTACAGGAGCAAACAGCCTCATCTTTTCTCCCAAGGAGTGGCTGCTGGATCTGAGTGTATGAACTTATGGGCTGCAACCCAATGCTTAACCCACTGCACAACCAGGGCTCCTTTTTTTTTAATCACTTCTTTATTCAAAACCTTCTAATGACTCCCCTTCTTAGAGCTGAAGCTCAAGTCCTCACAAAGGTCTACAGGTTTTCCACAATCAGATCTCCAACACCCACTTACCTTTCTGACTACTCTTATTTTGCTCACTTAACAAAGCCAATTCTGCTTCTACTATCCTTAAACATGCCCAGCACACATCTCTCTTAGGGGTTTTGCAACTATTGTTCCCTCTGCTTGAAGCACCCTTCCTTCCTCCAGAGAGGTGCACTTCCTTCTGGTCATAGCTCAGATGTCCTCTTCCCCAGGAGTTGTACCCTGGCTAAACCTCAATTTAAAATTGCAACCATCTCCCCACTCCCTATCGTACTTTTCCTCTGTTTTGACACCATCTGTCATAGCACATGTTTTGTTTAATAACCAAGGTCCCTACTAGAATGCAAGCTCCATAAAGGAGAGAATATTTATCTGTTTAGAAAAATGTTTGTCACACAATGGAAACTCAACAAATATTTCTCAAATTCATGAACACACATATATGTATACATACACATACACAGTTTCTCCTAATCTGCAATAACAACATGGTAACAAAGAGCTATCTGGCAAAAAAGTTGCCGGCCTTTTTAAAAGCTCTTTAAAACAGATACTCTGTTACTAATTGACTACATCTATGACTATAAAATACAGGTTTAGCATCAACATTTTTATTAGCATAAATTTGGGGGAAATGGAAGTTTAAAGAAAAGGGCAGAATAGCCAGGAATCATCAGAAAGAGAAGTCCGAGTCAGTTTGTCCCAATAACTCTGTTGAACAAACCCTGTGGGAAATACTAGCTGAATTCAAGCGTTAAGGAAACACTGGCCCAAATTCAACAAGAATAAAAATTCAGCCCCCTTTAAAATTTCTGTCTGCTTAAAACAAACCCGTCAACTATCAACTATATCGCAAGGCACTTATGGTCTGGTGAGCACATAGGGGATGTTCTCTCTAGCCAGATAATAATCGGGTCTAGGAAGCATTTCCTAAGTCAGATTTGCTTGTCTCACCTCTGAGGTCATCTCCTGGACAACGAAACAAGCCCTGGTCCTCCTGCGGTGGTACTGGGGTCTTCGAGAATTATTTCCCACAGTAACCAACCGCTTTATCAGACCCGGACGGTCATCTCAGCCAAGACGGTGCCCAGTGCATAAGGCAGTTGTCAGGGGATTTTGAGGGTCTCCCCAGACCAGGCAAAAGGTGGTCGCCAGCTGCAGAGGAAGGCGTCCTGGAGATGACAGGTGTGCAAGCACCACGAGGCAAGAGCCGAGCAGCCGGCCGCTGGCAGGGTGTTGGCGCGGAAACTGACAACTCCAGTCGTCACCCTCCAGCCCGGGCCGGGCCGGGGACGGAGGGAGTGCCGCGGCTCCAGCTCAACCCCCACCCTAAGCACGCACAAAATTACAATACAGCAGCAGATTGCCGCCAGACCGCGCGACCTCTTCCACGCGCGCTCCAGGAGTAAAGTTAGCGCCCAGCGGCCGAGCGCGGCCGAAGCGCGGGTCAGCGCGCCGGGGTGGAGGCCCCCCACGCACCCCTCGGCTGCTGTCAAAGCTAGTTGCCCTGGCGCTCGGGGGGCAGAGGAGGAAGCCTCAGGTCGCCGCACCGGGCCGGATTCTCCCAGCGATCTCAGCGCCGCGGCTGGATTCCTATCCCGGGACTCCTGCCACCACCCCCACCACCCCGCCCGCCCAAAACACCCAGCCTTCCCTCAGGGCCACGCATAGGATCCGGGACACCGAGTCCTCCGCCCGCATCGTTGGCGCCCAGCGACCGCCTTTACCTGCTCTGTAGCGGCTGTCGTCGCTGCAGCTGCGCGCTCCTCCTTCACTCGGAGAATACCCGAGGCGTCGCCGCAGCTCCTGCCGCC